CCCCCCCCCCCGGTGTACACATACACCCCTTAAAAAAAAATAATAATAATAAAAAAAATAAAATAAAAAATAAAAAAATGAGCGCATCAGAATTTGCGCATGGCGCATGGCGCATGTGCACCGCACGGCGCACCGCATAAGTGCGCCGCAAGTATGGTTTCAAGCGTTGTGTGAGCCTTTGTAAATGTCTGTGACAGTATTGACTCTATTGAGCTGTCAAGTTGTGAATAGTGAAACACAGTAAGCTGTGATATGTAAAGTACTGCTCATTACTAATGTTTTTTTTTTTTTTTTTTTTTTTTTTTGGTCCGGACATTTTTGTGTCTGGTGTACCGGTCCGGACGGTCTGGACGGTCCGGGTCCAGTCCTGTCCGGTGGTCCGGTGCCTGTCCGGATTACCGGACATCTGGACCAGTCCAGACAAATGTCTGGGCCTCGGTCCAGACATGTCCGGGTCCAGGTCCGCTGTTGCCATGCAATGTATACAAGCTTTCCGGTCAGAAAGGGCTGCATGGGGGTGTGTTGTGTTCCGGGGGAACGCCCGAAGTGTAATTTCAAACTGTTTTTTTGTGACTGTACTGAAGCTACCCCTTCTAATTTTGAAGTGTTCAATGAACGCCAAACACACCTACACTGCTGGATTCCGAGGAGGTCTTCTTTTTCTATTATTTTGTTGACAGAAACTCACATTATCTACCGACAAAGACCTGCACAAAGTAGCCGTAGCCCACTGAGCAACAGCCATTGCCTCCTCCGCCGTCATTTGCGCTGCTTGAGCCTGCAATACAATCCATTGCACCAGGACAACACTGCAATTAGACAACAGAGACCCTCACTAACCACTCACTCGCGTCCACACACACACAAAAGTCAACATGCACATACTCAAGGTCCTGAACCGCAACAGAGAGAACAAATAGCTGCGCAGGAGAACTTAATTCAATTCTTCCTTTTCCATTTTCTTCTCTTTTCTTTTCTTTTCTTTTCTTCTTCTTCTTCTTCTTCTTCTTCTTCTTCTTCTTTTTCTTTTTCTTTTTAATAGGTAAACTGCAACTGTAAAAGGGCCTTTACGAATCAGACCCCAAATGGATCCCCCAACAGCAAGGGGCCCTGTTGGCCAGAACTAAATTCACGAGCAGCAACTCAAAAGACAAAGTTCCCTGAGGTAAAAGTCACATCTATAATGAAGTGATACGTCATTTTGAAAGGTCACAGCAGGGGTCTGGTCCCACCTACGGTTGTTGAGTTTAGAAAACTCAACGGTGTGACGCCCTGTCGACATTAATAAATTCGAAACAACAAAAAAAAAAACTGAAAAAAACGCTCGAAACAGCTTTTCTCCTTATTTTTTATAACGTAACTGGGAGAAATGAAACATGTCGGAGTGAACGTCTCCGTGAAAAAAGGATACTCCCCGTGGTGAGGGGACAGGAGGTCACCATTTGTAAAATGGACAGGGACGACGTGGATGGCCAAATGCATTCATTGCCCAAAGAAGGAAACGAGTTTGATGCCAGACAGCCAAACACAGCTGTCAGAGTTCCTCCGTTTCAGGATGCAATGAGGAC